CTTATCCTTGGTGGAGTTCGCATACAACAACAGTTATCAAGTGAGCATACAGATGGCACCATATGAGGCATTATATGAGAGGCCATGCCGTTCTCCGGTTTGTTGGACGGAGATGGGAGAGAGATCCTATACGGGTCCAAATTTGGTTAAGGACACCTCTAAGAAGGTGAACTTGATACGGAAGCGTCTTCTCACGACTTAGAGCTGACAGAAGTGCTATTTCGACAGACGGTGGTGACCTCTGGAGTTTGAGGTGGGAGATCATGTCTTCTTGAAGGTGATGCTNCTGAAGCGTCTTCTCACGGCTTAGAGCTGACAGAAGTGCTATTTCGACAGACGGTGGTGACCTCTGGAGTTTGAGGTGGGAGATCATGTCTTCTTGAAGGTGATGCTTAAGAGAGGAGTGGTCAGGTTTGGTAAGCGAGGAAAGCTGTCACCGAGGTACTTGAGAGGGTGGGTGCAGTGGCTTATCGATTGCTGTTACCGCCAAATCTATTGGGTGTTCATGCGGTTTTCCATATCTCTATGCTCTAGAAATACACCCCGAATCTGACTCATGTGGTGGATTGGGGAGAGCTTGTTGTTGATACTAATGGGACCTTCAAGGAGGGACCGGTGCGCATCATGGATAGTCGGGAACAGGTTTTGCAAGGCAAGACCGTGCGGCTAGTGAAGGTGCTATGGCAAGACCGAGGAGTGGAGGAGGCGACATGGGAGCGCAAGGACACCATCCATACCAATTATCCTTTCTTATTCGAGGATGGAGGTACTTTCTTATAGTCATTAGATATTAAATGATTGTTGCATGTGCATGTGATTATATGTGTATGCGTATGTGAATTTCGGGGACGAAATTCTTTTAAGGGGAAAAGAATGTAAAACCTGGGTAAATTTAAACTTTTTCTGAAAATGGGTAAAATGGTAATTTGTTACTATAATGCATATTTAAAATACTCATGTTCTAGACCTCGGATGAGAAAACGGAGTTCGCTATTAGGTTTGTATCGCAAAACCTAGTCACCCTGTCAAATTTCATCGAATTTTGAGATAATCGAATTTTGCACGTCGTTCGAGACGACTACGTGGTGAATGATATTTTAAAGGTCCCCCAAAACATTTTTTTATAAAATTTTCTTAAAATTAAGTTAAAGTTCAAATAAAATTTATTTGGACTTAATCCAGGACTTAATGAGTCGTTTTGGGACGAAAAATGGACCCGAAAGTCAGAAATATGCGGTGCGATGTGGACCGCACATTCGGGACTATAAATATAGACTTAAAATCAGATATTTTGAAGAAATATCTTCATTATTCACCCAAGTGGCCGGCCATAGAGAGAGAAGAGAGAAAAGAGAAAAAAAAACTTAATCTTCAAGGCTTCCTCCTTTGATTCTCGAAACTCCGTCGCTCGGATCAACTTGGAACAAGAGCTAAAGTCGATCACTGCGACGAGGGCTACGTCTACGTACCAAGAAAAGTGAATTTCACCAAAGATCAAAGAGGGGACTTTGGAGAAATCAAAGGTTCTCGGGCTTTGGTTGGTGTTCTTGGAGGTTCTACTTCTTGCTACACGCTATAAGAAGTAGGGTTTTTCCTACTTTAGTTTTATTCCTATCTTAAGAGGTTGTTAAGGGGCTGAATCTGTGCTATTTAAGGGGCTAATTTAGGGCTGTTTAGTGCCTAAATTGTGGGCTATTTTTGTACTAAAATTGTGACTGTTTTTGGACTGAAATTGTAAATGAGTTTGGACGGAAAAGTGGACTGTTTTTGGATAGAAAAGTGGACTATTTTTGGACTATTTTTGTGGACTATTTTTGTGGACTATTTTTAGGCCATTTTGTGGGCTACATAAGGGTTGTTATATGGTGGTTTATATGGGCTGTTTTGGTGGTTTATATTGGTTGTTTTGGTGGCCTATATAGGGGCTGTTTTGTGGCTTAGATAAGGGCCATTACATGGGCTATTACATGGGTTGTTATGTGTTATATTATGCCTTAATGATTAAGTGTGCTATTATCATAGATTATGTAATAACATGCTTGTGAATTGTGTTGGATATGAATATTAATACATGCTAGTTGATGTTTTGACATTGTGAGGAATTATGGCAAGCATATGCATTAGATATTAAGTATCATGACATATGTTGAGATATGTGGTTAAATTGGTTCATATAGCATTCATTGCATATGAGACACGACATTGGCATGCAATGGTACATTACATTGCATATGCACGGAGACATCGCATATTGAGGGTGTGTGTGTGGATGGTTGTCATCTTCACCTCATTTGGTGTATGAGGAGTGGGTTTGGGAAGGTTGGATTGATGATTCAATTGAGTTGCATGATTTTATGGAAAATTGGGTCGGGTTTAACAAGAAGGGCTAGAATATCCCTCGGGTGAAAGACCTAGTAATTGGATTCACACTCCGTTGGTGTAAGAGCCCATAAAGTGTGGCGGTGTGTGCGGAACCGTTGGTAGTAGTCCATAAATGCCGTGTCGGCTGGGTGTCATTGGTGTAAGTCCATAAATACCCACCCCCAAGAAAAATCCTAGATTTATATAAAAATGTCATGTGATGTGTAATATAGATGACGGTGGCACTGCATTGTGTTGTGGGAGTCAGTGGAGACTCGGGGTAAAATGCATGAGTGAGTCTTATCTCATTTCATAGCATGACCTAGTAGAATTCCAACCTAAAATTGCATATTCTTTGTTGGAATGTTGATGTGAATATGAAATTTTAAATGTGAACATTGCATGTGCACTTAGGTGGAGAGTAGCCTTTGTAGGAAAATACTCTATTGGGCGTGGCTCACCCTATACGGGAAACATTTTAGGTACGAGATATACGCCGGTGGACGGCTCTCATTTAGGGCCACAAGGGTGAAGAAAACCGACTTGTGGCTTTAATAACTTCTTTTGTAAAACTTTTGGAGCAAACTAGTTTTGGCATATAGTTTTATGTAAGAGAGTTGTAATTGAACTCATATGGATTGTTTTCAATATAACCTTGCAGGTTTGTATATGAGTATGGATAAATGGACCTGGTGTGGTCAATTTTTACTCATAAATGGACCCGGTGCGGTCATTGTGTTATATTGGGTCTCGGATGGGTCATATGAATGTATATTGCACAGGTTGGATTTTGGGTAGAGCTCTCCGTACAAAGGAGACTGCTCAAAATTTGTTAAATTATGAATCCCGATAAGTGGGACATTACGGCGCAATATCGAGTTACATGATATCCATAGACATTCCGCGAGTTGATGGGTGATCAACGGATTCCCCGAATTTTTGGGATGTCACACTTCATCTAAACCAACATCTGAGAATAAATAGTATTTATAGGGGGTGAGCACTAAGCTCTGTAGCAACATCCTCCCAAACTTGAATAAGGTTTAGAAACATATAAAATAGTTCGGTCGCACTTTCTAAAATATCATATATAACTTGAAATAAAATAGTGACAATTTATTCAATCTCAAGTTAACGCAATAGTAATAAGTTAAATGAAAGGAATAAACATGTGAAGAAATCAATTTAATCATTCAATAGCATTATCTCATATTCTCATGTATGTTGGTTGCTTCCCATGAATCTACACGACGATTCTACATTGTTCACCCATCATAACCACACAAACCAATTTAGGAAGGACGTATACCGTCTTCCACGACATTGACGAATCCTTCCAAGGAAAAGTATATCATCCCTCAGCCTCGAACTTACGTGAACAATAGTGGTTGCTCTCACAAACAACAATTCACTATAAGTGTTAGGAAACCATCTCATCCCCACTGGCATAGACTAACCTCTAACACTCTACGACAGTTCTCGAATGTAATTTAAGTCCATCACAACAAACCATACAAGAGATGCAATACCAACCATTTTCTCAAATCACAAGTAAATTCAAAACCCCCAATTTCATAAGTATTTTTCCAACATAACAATTCAATAAAATAAGCAAGAGATCATCAAAAGATAGGTTTTTATTGTTCCAAGTAAAGAACTAAAGTTTTTGAATCAAGAACAAGAGGATATCAAGAAGAAAAATCCATTTTTCCCAATGTTAGGTTTTTACATCAAGAACATGCATTTCTAGGGTTATCAAACCATAAATTCTTTCAAAATATGGTAAGGTTTGCAAGAACATCAAAAATCAAGGATTCCATAAAAAATATATATGATTAAGAGTCAAAACATATGTATATATAAGTCCTAACCTCAATGAACAAGGGTGGAAGAAAACCCCTACCTTTCTTCTTCCTTGACTTTGTGTGAAGACTTGAAGATTTGATCTTTCCCAAACTTGAATCAACCCTTTAATCTTTTGTTTTTTTCTTTATTTCTTCCTCTATAAGCCTTTCTAGGGTTAGAAATTTTGAAATGGGGCTTAAGGAGGTGTCCTTATGTATTTTTAGGAGGCCAAATGGTTCCCTTTGCGCGAATTTGAAAGTCAGAATTCGTAGCTCACGTTCGAATATCATTGCCATTTGAACATCCTTTGCTCCCAATACTTTTGCTTTTCATAAGAAAAAAAGTACTAGAATATATTGTCGTTCGAACGGACTTTCACGTTTGAACGTAGGTCATTCGAACGTCATTTCACATTCGAAAAGACTTCCTGTTTCTACTAAAACTGTCAGTAAAGTTTTGATCTATTTAGAGGTCGATTTGGAAAATTTTTATTCAATACACTTTTGTAGCCCTAGAAGTCTACTATCTACTGTAAAAATTTTAGATCCAATGTACATCAGAATAAAAAGTTATGATCCAAATATTAAACAGTGTCCAAAATCCTTTCTACCCAAATTTTGTCTAAAATGTGTTTTCACTCCGGAATACTTCCAAACTTCTACAACACATCATTTTACCTCAATTAAAATTTTGTCTCTACTCTTACAATCCACCTAGTTCATGCATACATCATTACATATATTAGCATTTCAAAACATAATTACGTTGTTATATAAAGAATAGAATGTGGGGGTTTATAACTTTTGCGCCTGGCAATCAATACCTTGCTGCAGTGAGGTATGTTCTGGCTGTGTCTCAGCCCTTGAAATTAATTTACTATGCTGACTTTTTGACAACTCTGATGCATTGGGGATAGCAACTTGTTGGGGAACAGAGACTTGAGTTGCATCTACATAGTCATGAGCTCTACTCGCCACACTATCTGGCTTACTGGAAGATTCATTTGGGACCACTTCTGTAGTAATAGCTTGGCTTCGTTCCACTTCATGCTCAGTCATGAGCTGTGTATTCATTGTTTTCTCATACGCAACAGTGTTGAGCTCATGAGGACTCATAAGAGATCTGGACTATGGATTATATTAAGTATTTATGGTTGGTGGGTCTATGATTTTACAATGGTTTGAGAGGTGGGTGCGAAGGATTTAATGTGGGAAGGTTTAAGGAGGAGAGAGAGGGAGATAGGTATGGAAGAGGGTTTTAGAAACAAGTGGTCAGAAAATGAATTGATGAAGGATGAGGATAATAAATGGGTTAGGAATTGTAGATCAGGCAAAGAATGTATGGATTAAGCAAAGATAGGGATGGACAAGAGAATGGTGGGTTCAAGGAGGAAGAGAACGCAGAAGAGACATGACTTAGGTATGATTCATCACTTGAATAGATTGAATAGTAGTAGCCAACGTCTCCATTGATGTAGTAAATTCTTCTTAAAATTGTTGGAATGTCTATATCAAATAATGGAGACAAAGATGACATCTAGAATCCAAGGCACGAATGTATTTGCTATCTTTAAGATGAATTTTCCGCCCTCTTCTAATAAATATTGCAAGTGAAAAAAATACAAGACAAATTATCCCCTAAATACAATGGACCTATATTTACCTGTTACTATTTGAAAGATTTACTCAACCTAAGAATAGCCTGAACTTTCAGAGTAAAAAAAGAATAATGTCACAAGAAAGCAAGAGAATTTTGGGAGAAAGAAGAATATGAATGTTTTTGGTGTAAATGAAATGAAGTGAATGCACTCCTATTTGTAGAGAATGAAGAGGTGCAAAGGCATCATTTCACCGAAAGACACCATTTCATGAAAAGATACATTTTCATTAAAAGACACATTTTCATAAAGACACTTCAATAACAAGACATCTATACATGTAAAGACACATTCATAAGAAAAGGCGTAATAGACATTTATTCATCCAAATGCACCCTTTCATGGAAAGACACTTATTCATCATTACAATACCTGAAGAGTTGCAACTATACCCATTCACCACTTCCTACCAAAAACACGACTAATTTACATTATTAAAATGTCTAATAGTAAATGACTTAGACATCCACATCCCCATAATATTTATCAGCCATAAGACATAGTGAATTTTTCTTGTGCACAGTGACTCCTGGTTTCACCTCTGTGTCAATATTTTCCTTCTTCATTCCAGTAGGCAGTTCCCAATTAAACAAGTAAAGTAAATTTGCAAGTGCAAGCTCTACCGTCGCAACTCCAAGATAAATCCCAGGGCAACTCCTTCGGCCAGCTCCAAAGGGAATGAATTCAAAATGTTGTCCATAGAAATCAGTAGAACTACCCAAAAATCTCTCAGGTTAAAACACTTCTAGGTTTTTCCAAGATTTAGGATCTCGTCCAATTGCCCATGCATTCACATAAACTATGGTTTTGGGTCTAATTTCATACCCATCTATGTTGCAGTTTCGAATTGTCTCATGAGGAAGTAGCAATGGAGTTGGAGGGTGCAATCTCAGTGACTCCTTCACTACCGCCTTGAGATAAGGAAGTTTTTGAAGATCGCTTTTGATGATACCTAAAGTAAATTATAAGTGCTAAGCTCAGGAGGTCAGCTCGGACCAGGAGGTCAGACACATTAGCAAAGGTCAGAGGGTAAGGGCCGAGTGTCTCTTAAGGCAAGATAACAGCTGGATAACCACTAGAGGATCCTAAAGCGTTAGGAGGCTCTAATCAAGGCACTCAATCTCAACCAACCAAGATCTTCTCCTAGAATTAGGGAGAAGCCCACGAAATAAGGGCAAGAATCTCGGTCAAGATCCTACTGAATAGAGAACAGCCCTATAAATATTATGTAACGCCCCCAAAAAGGGGAAGAGGACCCTAGAGGCAAGAAATAGCCATTGTACTCTTGTAATCATCATTATTGAAAGGTAAGGAGCAAGAGTCTCCATTAAAGAGTGGATTAGCCGAGCTCCCGAGCTGTTGAACCACTATACTTCTTCTGTGTTAATCCTCCCAGCCCCTAGAAAAACATTTCTTTCATTATCACATCACCATCATTGCCAAGCATAATTACGATTCATTACTCATACAATTCGGTTTACACCATCAATTTGGCGCCGTCTGTGGGAACGACTGTTCCTGTTACAAATAAAGCTGATTTTTCAGTGACTGATGGTATCAACGCGAAACATTAGCCAAAGTCAGACCAATCCTCTACGGATNGCCAGCTCCAAAGGGAATGAATTCAAAATGTTGTCCATAGAAATCAGTAGAACTACCCAAAAATCTCTCAGGTTAAAACACTTCTAGGTTTTTCCAAGATTTAGGATCTCGTCCAATTGCCCATGCATTCACATAAACTATGGTTTTGGGTCTAATTTCATACCCATCTATGTTGCAGTTTCGAATTGTCTCATGAGGAAGTAGCAATGGAGTTGGAGGGTGCAATCTCAGTGACTCCTTCACTACCGCCTTGAGATAAGGAAGTTTTTGAAGATCACTTTTGATGATACCTAAAGTAAATTCTAAGTGCTAAGCTCAGGAGGTCAGCTCGGACCAGGAGGTCAGGCACATTAGCAAAGGTCAGAGGGTAAGGGCCGAGTGTCTCTTAAGNCAAATCGAATCCTCATTCACTGCTGGGGTGCTGCACTTCCCTCTCCTACATAAATTAAGAATGCTACAAGTGAATGCTTTCGATGGGACAAGGGATCCCATGGACCACCTCAACACCTACAAAAATCAAATGGAGTTGCATGGATATCAAAATCCAGTGAGATGCAGGGCCTTTGCTATCACCTTGAAGGGCTCAGCCTTAGCATGGTTCAACATACTCCCCCCAGCCTTGATTTCCTCTTTTAAAGAGCTGTCAATCTCGTTTGTGTCCCACTTCATTGGAGCACGGACCTATAGGAAACCGAGCTACCATTTGTTAAATGTGAAACAGGGACCTGATGAGAACCTACGGTCTTATGTCCAACGGTTCAACTCAGAATCCTTGAAGGTAGATGTCCTAGATAAAAAATTTGCTATTACAGCCTTCATAGCAGGTCTGGGAGTTCAGTCAAAGATCTGATATTTTCCATCTCAAAGAACCCCTAGGCTAGTATGGCGGAGGTGCTTGCCAAAGCAGGAAAGTACATAACTGGTGAGGAAGCTCTCCTCTCCAAGGTCGGGAGCTCTTCGTTGAGAAAGGAGAAAAGGAAGAAAGAAAAGAAGAGAGAACAAAGTCCCAGAAAGGAAGGAGAACGAGGTAGGTCTCCAAGAAGAGACAGAGAGCGTTCCCCAAATAGAAGAGAAAATGTCAGGAATCGCCTTGGCCCTCCACAACCAGAGCTACAACCAAGGTATGCACCCCGACAACTCACCCCTCTGACTGCTACGGTGTCTCAGATACTGTATAAGGTGCAAAATGAGAAGTTCTTATGGTGGCCACCCCGAATGAAAGCAGACCCGACAAAAAGGGATCCTACGAAGTATTGTGACTTCCACAGAGACCGTGGTCATCACACCGACGACTGTATCCAATTGAAGAAGGAAATAGAATTTCTAATCCAACGAGGGCAACTGCGACGCTATGTGGCCAATGATAATCAAAACCGAGCTCTCCCACCTCCCCCTTAGCGTCAAGCACCAGAGCCACACCAACAACCTATGGGGGAGATCAGAGTGATATCAGGAGGATTTTCCAGAGAATGAGGGTCCAGCTCTGCCAGAAGGCCCACTTGCAAAAAATCAGAGCCACAGAAGCTCTCGAAGTATATACCGTGTCCAAGTCTCCACGCTTAGACTCGACTATCACTTTCTCATATTTAGATCTGGAGGGCTGCCAACATCCCTATGATGACCCTTTGGTGGTAAGAGTTGTGGTGGCCAACAGGACTGTCCATCATGTTTTGATTGATAATAGCAGCTCGAAAGACATCATTTTTGCTTTTGCTTTTAACAAAATGGATATAGGAAGGGAAAAGCTTGAACCGGTAAGTGCCCACCTATTGGGATTCTCGGGAGAAAGGTTGCTGCCCCTGGGCTCAATCCAACTCATCTTGACCTTAGGTGACCCACCCTGTCAGACTACAATAACTGTAAAATTCCTAATGGTTGATGCACCTTCAGCATACAATATGCTCCTTGGAAGACCCTCGCTCAATTCTATAAGGGCTATTCCCTCTGCCTATCACCTTGTAGTGAAGTTTCCAACAGAAAACAGAGTTGGAGTGGTTCGAGGAGACCA